GTCTCAGGGTCTCCGCAGCGCCGCGCCGCGCAGCGCAGGCCGCCGCCGAGCTCTGATACACAGGCGCAGACAGCCGCCGCCAAGCCCTCCTTGCGCAGGCGCACTGCCCCGTCTTGAGGGCGGACACTCCCGAGGCAAAAAAAACTCCTCTGCCGGGGGCGGCGGCAACGGGAAGCGGCCCAGAAAAGGAGGCTAAGGCGCGGCCGTTGCATATCTGTTGGCTCTCTCAGCTTTACCTGCACTCGCGGTCACCGTTGGTCACCTCAGGAGCGGTTCACGGGACTAAGGGAAGCCGAGGCGACGCGGCGCCGACGCGCCTGCGCGCGTACGGCGGCCGAAAGGGACCAGAGGCGGCGCAGCCGGTGACAGCCGCGAACCCCACCCTTTCCCCACGTGGCCACGAAGACCGGGTGAGAAATGACGGCTGCCGAGCCCCTTCTCGCGCAGGGCAGGGAGTGGACGCCGCGGGGTTTGTCTAGTAGCTGTGGAGCGACGCTCGGGGACGTGGTTTTGGGTAATGAAAGACTATTACGGAAGCCGCCCGGGGACAAAATCGCCCACCTTCCCTGGCCTTCGCTTTCTTTTCATTTATTCATTCATTTATCACCTATGTATGTACTGAGTGCCTGCTGCATGTCCATCCCCATCCTAGGCCGTGGTGGGGGTGGGGAAGATGTTTAACAAAACGGCCCCAGCTCTCATGCAGGTTAAATTTCTTTGGGGAGAAGGCTAGATAGTAAAAGCAAATAGATGAACCCTTTCTCTCCATGTTGAGATAATGTTAAAATAATAAAAGAATGTAATGCGATAGGAGAGCGGGGTCTGCTTTAACCAGAGTGGTTATGATGACCCTTGGATAGCTGGGAAGAATGAAAAAGAAGTGGAGAAGCACAAGTGAAAGGGTCTAGGCAGGGAAAGTCCTGGTAAGACTTGAGTTCGTTCTGAGAGCGTTGGGAAGCCACTGCAGGATTTTGAATAGGTGAGTGAGGTGGTCTCTGTTCTTTCAATTCCCCCTCTGGCTGTCTTGCAGAGAATAGAGGCACAGGGTATGGCAGGGAGAAAGCAGATGAGGCCCCCTGAACCAGGGTGGGTGTGGCAGATGGAGGAAGATGAATCATTGAGAGTCCTTCGAGTCAGGGCACCGTTTTCTTGATAAGCAAAACCATGGCTTAGAGAGGGAAGCTAGCTATCAGCTGGGGACCTTGATAACTCCCTTCCCTACAGCATGCCTTGGATGCAGTGTGGGGGCTGGTAATACTGTTTCTCTCCTCTCCTGGCCTAGGCTGTTCCCCAGGTGGCTCCCAGATGTCCATTCCCAGGCACCATCTTTCTCATGAACTCCAGATCTTTATTTTCATCCCTGCCCCCACCCCCTAGGCCTATGTTGGACCTAAGGGACTGGCCTAAGGGGTTGTTCCAAAGCCAGACACTGGCCTCTCCAGCTCAGGGATCTTAGGGCTGGACAGAGGGAGGTTCTTGTAGGGGTGGGGAGAGCTGAGAATACACAGACTCTGAGTAGCCAGGGAAGGTGTCCAGGAGGAGGTGGCTTGGAAGGTCTGGCGGAAGCTCTGCAGAGGACCGAGGTGGAGGTAAGGGGTTAATAAGACAGGCTAGCGTGATAGGGTCCCTGGAGGAAAGGGGTTAATGAGATGGGATAACATGATAGGGTCCTGGCCAGGCCTCTTATTGTTTCTCTGAGCTTCAGATTCCTCATCCTTAAAGTAGGCACAATGACATTCCCCTTTTAGGACTGTACTTCTGTGATAGAGTAGCCAGTCACCATTGGCCCACTTGGGTCTGAAGCATGACCAGGGTGGTAAAAGCAATGTCTGGTGGCAGAGCCAGGAGCAGAGTCCCTCCAGCAGCACCCACACCGGAAGTTCCTGCTCCTCAGGTCTGGCTAGGACCATTCCATCACTACCAGCCCAGGCTCCCTGCTGAGAAACTCTTTAGCTTGAAACAGAAACCCTTTTTCTTTTCCTCCAATTTTGATCTTGGAAATTCTTAACTACTCCTAAACAGGCTCCCTGTTCTGGGGAATAAAAGGCAGGGGTATCTGCAAGGGAGTGAGGTGAGGTGTTTGATGCCTTAGTTCTCCACCCCCACAATAAACTGGCCGAATTACCTCTCAAGCAAGAGCAACAACTAGGTGATGTTTATTGATCTCTGTGCCATTCCTGTTCCAAGTGCTTTGTAGGAATTGATGGGTTGAATTTTCACTCCAGCCCTATGATTAGATTCTGTATTTGTTCCTGTGTCACAAATGAGAGAGTTGACCAACAGTGAGGTTAAGTGGAGGGCCTGGGATTTGAGTCCCCCTGGCTGGCCCTGGAGCCTGTCCTCCCACCTTTCCCACCCCAGGCATCTGCACAAACACAGATGGAATATTCACATTCAATGCTACGTCCACAGAGAGAAGCGAGGGCTTGAGTGGCTCATTTCCCACACAGCCCAATGTAGCACATTCCCATACCACTGCCCTAGCTCCCCCTGTGCCTTTGTCCCTGTAACACACTTTCTGTGCTTTCTGTGATTCTGGAATGGATCCAGGACCAGAAAAAAAAAAAAAAACAAATTGTTTTAAAAGACAATATTGTGACAATCAAGAAAGTCCATCATGTACTATATGTTAGAAAATAGTATTGCATCATTGTTAGATTTCTTGTGTTAAATTTCATTTGTGCTGTGAATGTATAAGAGAGTATCCTTTTCTTGGGAAAGTCATGCTGACATCTGTAGGAGGGAAGGGATCCCATGCCTGAAGCATGCTCTCCAACGATGTATGTGTCACACACTCACATAGGCACACACCCACACTCACATAGAGGTTAACATGGCAAAATGTTAACCATTGGTGAAGCTACAAGACCCTTTTGTATAGCCCCTAGATAGCGCTCCTTGTACTATTCTTGCAACTTTATTATAAGATTAAAAAATGATGGGGGAAAGATATAGCTCAGTGGTAGAGCACATGCTTAACATACGCAGGTCCTGAGTTCAATCCCCAGTAACTCCATTAAAAATAATTAATTAATTAATTAATTAATTAATTAAAAGTGATATATTTTAAGTAGAAACTTAATATAATTCCAAAATGGAAACATGGTATTGCTACAATAAACAAGGTAGATATAGTAAAACAAGTAAGATTTTAAAAGTTGTTAACCTCTGTTAGGCTCTGGTCCTGAGGCCTGTTTGCCCTCTTGTTAAAAAGAGAGCGTGGCAAATATTAAATGTTAAACTGCTTGCACTCTGGGGACCTTCTTGTCAAGACCATTGGCTAGTTTACTGAGGGTTTTGCATTATTTAATTCTATGATGTGCCCCAAACCCGCAAAGGAGAAGTGACTGCCCAAGGTGCTGGGTCATCTAACTACTGATCCTGTTCCCTGGCTTCCAGTGTGTGCCTGTGCTGGGTTTCATTTGGGGTTTGTTTTTTACTGGAAGAGTATTTTTTAAATTGAACTGTAATTTACATACCATAATATTCACCCACTTAAAGTGTGCAATTTAGTGATTTTAAGTATATTCATAAAGTTGTATAATCATCACCACTAATTCCAGAACATTTTCACCACCCCGAAAGGAAGCCTTATCCCCATTAGCAGTCACTCCCCATTCCCCCTCCTCTTCACCTCCCCCAGCTCCTGGTAAGTCCTCATCTACTTTCTGTCTGTATGGATTTGCCTGTTCTAGACATTTCATATGAATGGGTTCATACAATATGTGGCTTTTTGTATCTGACTTCTTTTACCTAGCAAGATGTTTTTGAAGTGCATCCACCTCATAGCATGTGTGTCAGGGCTTCGTTTTTTATGTCTGAATAATATTCCATTATATGGACTTCACATTTTGTTTATCTTTTCATCTATTGATGGACCCCCAGTCCTTTTCACTGTTTTTGCGATTTATTTGTTGAAAACCCTAGCTGTTTGTCCTGTAGCTGAGGTTCCCCTCCCCAGCCCCTTCCATGGGGATTTTGCAGATCACATCCCTGTGGTATTGTCTGTCTGTCCTCAGTTTCCTATAAACTAGTCATTAGCTCTACAGCCTCTCTATCCAGTATGAAAGCCACTTACCACATGCAGCTATTTACATTAAAATGAATTAAAATTAAATAAAGGTACATATTCAATTCCTCAGTTGTATTAGCTCCATTTCACCTGCTCAATCCCATATGGGACTGGCAGCTGCCACATTGGACAGCACAGAGGTAAAACACTCCTTCATCGTAGAAAGTTCCACTGGACTCAGTCAGATTCAGGTCTGAGTTTTCAGCAAGATGACTTCACAGATGCCTTTTATTCTTGTTGGGAGGCAGATGGCATCCAGTTTCTCTTTTGATGACATGGAATCACACAGTGGGTGCAGGTACTGTCCATCTGTTATCAGGTTCCCCATCAGTTTTGCACCTCACGGTTTTGCAGCCCATGGAGATCATCATCTAGATCTGTCCTGTCTTGGTTGGTTAGCTGGATTTGTGGCAAAGAATAACTTTCCCTTGTCCTGTCTTTATAACCTGGTGTCCACTTGCATAAGGGAGGCAGGATTAATGCTGGATTCTTTATATGCCCACTTTCAGAAGAATGAGCTCAGTTTCTTTTAGTACTATTGTGAATACACAGATTTTGATTTTGGTATCTATTGGTTTTGTTTTGTTTTGTTTGAATGCTCACTTATCCCATCTTCCTTAGCTAGTGCCCTTTAGGGTAGTCTGAGTCCTTTGATGTGACCCCAGTAGTCTTTAGAAGCTTCTTTGCTTTCTGGCCTCACGTTGATGCTCCTGGCTCATTTGGCCCATTTCCTACCCAGACATAGACTCAACCATTATTCCAAGACCCCTGGCTTCTTTGGTGGAAAATGGTATATAGAGACCACAGCTGGTATTCAGGGTGCTCATTACTGCTGTGGTATCATTTCCTCCAGGCATTCTCAGTTCATATTAATAGAAAATTGGTTCTTTGTTTGCTCAAATGAAAATGTGTAATGATTCATCTTGTATTTCCAGTTCAAATTTAGGAGTTCTGAGTTTTTACTTCTTTGATTTTATATTAGAATCTTTTTTCTTTTATGCTGGTTCCTAATGATACAAATGCTACTACTTACTTGCTACATCTATAATAGTTTCCAAATAGTATTACTGATATAGTTTCTGATAACACGATTACTGAAAATTGTTGAAGATTTTCTTTTGCGATTCTATCCTTAGAGTAGATCCCAATAAGAATATACCGTTATAAAAAAAAAAAGAATATACAGTCATATCACTGTTTTAAAATTGCATTAAGTGATCCATGAAGATAAAATGTTAAATTCATTAGTTTCATTTTGCTCTTGAGTTTTAGGGATTGCTTTTATTTTTATTTTGGTTATTTTGGCATATTTATTTTCCTAATCACACAAAGCATTTATCTGAGTTCCAAATTCAAACCTGTAAAATGAAGTACTTTAAGACAGAATAATTCAACTTCTGTTCCTGCTCTCATTACCCTTTCTCTACCTCCTGTTACAGGTGACTATTTCTGTTAGCTTTTAATTTACTTTCATTCTTCTTCTTATTATTATTAAGTTTTATTTTAAATCTTTATTAGTATAACTATATGCTATTGTAATGTTTTACTTCATTATGTAATTACATGTAAAGTTTATAACTGTATACAGAGTAATATGTGAATAAATATGAGTAATACATATAATATTATAATCATGTAACATACAACATAATATTATTAAGATATTATTTTATCTTTATTATTACTACTTTTTACTATAAGTACATACGTTATATTAACATTCCTCATTTCTTAGATAAAATGTGGTAAACTACCTGCCCTCTTCTGTACTTTTAGATGTTCTGTGGATGTTCGGATATCACCCTTTCCTGTGACTCAGGTTGTAAGAATTTTTCCAGGGTGGTTGTAGGCTGTGGCCCCTTGGTAGATGCTCCCTAAATGGTGGCCAGGTTCTCAGTTGCCTCTCCCTCTCGATGAAGCTTTCTTCTTACCTTCTTAGCTTGGGAGCAACTAGTGGGTGTCCTTGGCCCCATGAGGAGAAGATGACAATGACCTCCAAGCGTATCACCCAGGAAACCTTCGATGCAGCCGTTCGTGAGAACATCGAGGAATTGGAGATGGAGCCGGAGGAGGCAGTGAAAGAGGCTGTGGAGCAGTTTGAGTCACAGGGTAAGGCAGTGTGGCCCAGTCTCAGCGCTGCTGTGGCTCATTGCCCGACAGTCACCTCCAGTCCGTGGCTCTTAACGTGCAAGAATGGTGTCCTGCCACGACCCCATCCCTCCTGGCATGGCAGCTCTGGGCTCTGCCCCAAGCAGGCTGGCCACACACTCCCACCTTGCTTGACACCCACCTTCTACTTGCCTGCACCTTACCCTGACATCTGCAGGGCTGGGTCCTTCAAGTTGGGTCTCATTTTAATTGTTGCTTTCTTGAAGAGACTTCTCTTGACCACCTCCCAAGAAACAGGGCCACCTGCCTCCCTGCCCCACCTGCACCCCAGCTTGAGTTCATGGAGGCAGAAGAGGTGTTGATGACCGGCCCGTGGAAATAGGTGGCGTGCTCAAGCCAGGCCATGGAGGAGAGTGGTAAAGAGGGAGCTCTTTGCAATAGCATGAGCAAGGTTAGGAGACTCTGCCAGGCACAGTAGGGACCTCCTCTGCCCCATGACAGGCCATCGCAGGGGATGAGGGTTACCTGACAAAGACAGAGGCAGGAAGCTGGGTATGAACACCCCACCCTCCCACTCCTCCTGCCCCTGATCTCAAGTCCAGCTTCCCATTGGCCAAATCCAGTCAGATGCCAGGGGGCAAGGGAGGCCAGGGATCTAGCCTTAGAGTTCAGAAGCTGTCATCCTGGCCACAGAGTAAGGTATAGACACTGGACAGGGGCTGGAGGACCATCTAGAATTGCTCTGCACAGTGGGGGCTTCCTTTGGGGGTACCAGAGAGGGCAGAGATGCACCCAGGGTGAAGAACAGTGGGAGCCCCAAGGAAGAAGGTCATGGGTTCCCTTCCCCTCAAAGCCCACCAAACAGAATGTGTCCCTCACTGCAGCAATGGTGTATAGCCTCATTGCTCTTCTGTTCCCACTAGCTGGATGGGGCCAAAGCATTTGGGTGTGGCTGCTGGGCCCTGCCTGGGCAGGGAGTGGGGCAGGATGGGGAGCTGGGCAGATCTCTGAAGGCCCCCGAAGTAGCCTGGTCCCAGCAGAAGGGACTTGAGGTGTGACTCTGGCAGGCCCATGGGGGTGACAGCTGTCACTTGTTTCCTGACTCCCCCACCACCCACAGGAGTCAATCTAAGCAACATTGTAAAGATGACGCCGAAAGTCTCTGCAGATGGACTCCAGGAGCCCACACATGACGTCCTGCAGGTAAGAGGGGGCAGCCCATGTTGGCCTTACATGCTGAGTCCCACATCGCCTCTTAATTCTGTCAGGGGCATCTTTTCCCTGATTCCCACTGATTCCCAGTGGCAGACACAGACTCAGAAGGTCAGAGCCTGCCTGGCAAGCACAGGCAAACCCGAGTTTGCAGCCAGGGCTCCCAGAGTCAATGTCTTAGGGCCTCTCAGGGGTCGCCATGCTCTGCCCACACACCCACATGCCACAGTCTGAGACTGGAGCAGACGGCGTAGGCAGGAGTGGATAACACTCCAAGCCTAAGGGGTAGACAGTGTTCATTTTTGTTCTGGTGTTGGGAGCCTTGGGTGGAGGGCGCCTTGGAGGAGCCTCTTTCCTGCCTCCCAGTCACTGAGTTTGCTCAGAAAAATGGACAGGAATCCCAGGAAAAGAGAGTGGGATCATAGTAAGGCTGTCATTTACTGAGCACTGACTATTTTCTGGCAGGTTACAGCCCATCCCCTTAGCACTTAAACTGGCCTGTGAGGGTGGTGATGTCATCCCTGGCTTTCTGGTGGGGAAGCGAAGGCCCAGAGCCTGCCCTTGCTCTCCAGTGATCCAGACAGGGAAAGCACAGCTCACAGAGGTTAAGTCCTTTCCTTAAGGTCATCCATCAAACTGGTAAGCTGTTGGTAAAATGTAGAAAGTTCTAGTGTTTATTGAGAACCAGCTGTGGACTTAGTTCTATGCTAGGCACTTTCCTCATGCTGTCTCAGTTATTTTCCCAAAGATATCTGCAGGGTTGGGCTTATTACCCCCCATTTAACAGATGGGAAAATTGAGATCCAAAGAAAAATTATGATGCACTTTGCAGCAAAGAGCATAGGGGTAAAAGAGGAAGTTGGAGGAGACAGTCCTGGGTGTGAACCTAATTCTACTTCAGGGCAGTTGCTTACTTCTCCCTGTCCTCAACTTCCTCACTATCTCCTACCTTGCAGAGGTTTTGTGAAAATTATCTTATGGTCTTTTGACTATCTTTGCTACTGAGGATAAATATGTTTTAAAATGAGCCTCTCTCCTGGCAATTTTTCTATTGGGTTGCTCATGTTATTGATTTGTAGGTGTCCTTTATATATGAAGGCTCTCAACAAAAATAGTCTCTAAGAATCAAAGTACTTCTTAAGTACTTGGCATTGTGTTAAATTCTTAAAACGTGTTATCTCAATCTATGATTAGTCCATTTTGCTGATCAGGAATCTGAGGCTTCCCAAAGATAAATGATTTACCTCTGGTGAGGGATAGAGATGTGTCCAGACCCAGGTCCCTCTCCCAGGGTAGCTAAGCTCAGAGAATGGCCCTGCTGCCTTCTACCAGCAGTACAGGAAACTCCTTGTTTGTTTACAATCTTTGTCCTTTATTCTTTTTAATTTGACTTTTGAAATTTTATCTTATTTTTTAATTGAAGTATAGTTGATTTACAATGTTGTGTTAGTTTCAGGTGTAGAGCAAAATGATCCAGTTGTACATATGTATACATATTATATATATATTCTTTTTTATAAAATTTTATTTTTCATTGCAGAAGAACATGAACACATTCTTGGCATAAAAGATTCAAACAATATTCAAGCATTTGTAGTAAAATCTGAAAGTCCCTGTCCTGTCTCTCCTACCAATCCCATTCTCACCTTCCAGAGGGGTGGCACCATGAGCATGGAAGTTCACATCCAACCAGAGAGAAATTAGAGAGTTAAAAACTCTAGTTCAAAAAGATACATCCACCCCAGTGTTCATAGCAGCGCTCTTTACAATAGCCAAGACATGGAAGCAACCTAAGTGTCTATCGACAGATGACTAGATAAAGAAGATATAGTGTATGTGTACACACACACACACACACACACACACACACACACACAGTGGAATACTACTGCCATTTGCAGCAA